GCAGCACTCAACATGCCTAAACGAGATCATCATTAGTCACTGGTCATTCAAATAAAGTAACAGTGATATACAAACGATCAAAATCATCAAACATATACGCATGTCAGTTAATCAGCTATGTCAAGAAAGGGAAAGTCCAGCGAGGAATACGCAAAAAGGGTTTTGAAGACTAAAAATACTACAGTATTTGTGTGCATTTTCATTTACCGTGATCCTTGTTCTTGTACAGCCACTTGTTGCCATCATCTGTGAGCAGCTTGTCCTGTCCAAAAGCAGCGTTGACAAAGCCGTTCACAAAGGAAGAGGCCAAATTCATACGAGCAGAGTCCACCTGGGAGCCGCTCCCGCCAAACCCTAACACATACAGAGTAGAGGTCACGCTACATGGCTTAATCAATGTTTCTCACCATCATTGAACAAATAAGTAACTTTCAGCTCACTTGCCACAGTGGCCAGTAAATCACAACAAACAGCATCCATAAAACCATCTGGACTTACTGTTGTTTTCAAGATGTGTTTTGTAGATGTCATCTGGGACTTTGGGTTCCATGATGTCCAACTGGGAAGGAGAAGATTAGTGTGTTTATAAAAGGTTTTTAAAAGAAAGGCCACAAAATTCTCTCTGCAATTAAAAGCTTAGGCAGCTTTTATTAGTTACCTCTCTGGCCAGGGCCAAGAAGTTGCTGTTGAGCTGCACATTAGACATAATCTCTGTCAGGTCTTCGTAGTCCTCTACATCCTCATTAAGCTCCAGGAACATGCCATGGCGACCCAGCATGAAGGCCATCTGCTTCTGGATGACACTAACAAAAAAAAAAATGCAATCAGATAAGAGATATTAAATGTTAATGTGTTCATCCACCTTGACGGGTTAATAACTTATATCATTACGATGACCATCTTATGCCCTCGAGGAATGGTGGTTAATTTGTCCTTACATGTCTTTGCAGGATGTGAAGATGTTTTCTACCAGCTCCACATCATTGAGAATCAAGGCGAGTCGCAAGGCCTCTGGATAACGGTTAAACTTTCGGAAGATGTTCAGGGCACATCTCAGCAGAGCCGAATTTTCAGGCTCAGGAACATAACTCACACAACTAGAACCAGGAAAGAAGTTAGGAAATGAAGCGGTTGTATTTCAGTGACAAATTTAAATTAAATTTTTTATTAATGACTAATGTTTGGGTTTGTGAGCAGTGTATAACCTGGACATACCTGGTGAGGTAAAGGCAGACTTTTCCATAAGCATTTTCATCTATATAGTCTTCCAGCATCTCCAGCCTCTCGATCTCCATCAACAAGTCGCACGCCTCGTGCTCTGCATTGTGGGCCATGTTATAGGGCACAATCTCCCTCACTAGTTTCAATAGCGTCTCCTGCTGTGCCTTGTCACTCTCTTCCACCTCCTGCCACTCCTTAGCCACCTCACCTGCCAGGTGCCTGGAAAATGATGGAAAGAAAAACAGTCATCAAAAATGAAGCAAACACCAAATTACACTATATTTCACCCCAACACCCCTCACGGTTTTCTTATGTAATAAGTTATCTTGCTGCTCCAACAGTAGCAACATGACTTGCAGATGTATGTAGTTTACTTACCTTACATATTCATGTCCCCAGGAGGCCAGCTCTTCCTGTGAGCCCAACAGACGGTACTTCAGGCACTCCCTCTCACCGCTCATCGTCATGGCCAACACTGAGACCACATCAGCACAGAAATGCTGCAAATACAGAAAACATTAACAGTGCGAACTTTATTTCATGTGTCACTTGGTTTTTAGTGCTTTGATTCTTGGGGCTACATCCATACTGCTACATTTTCAAACTGAAGCTTTAATCCCTGTCCATACTAACAGACCTGAAAATTAGTATCATATGCCTGCTCACATATCGTATACTGGGCATGCACGTGCCAGTGCCCACAGGATGCATTTGGTTGTTAGTTGCTGAATTGTCATAGATTGCTTGAATAATATCCCATATGCATGTAAGCAGTTGTATAATTGCAAAATTTAACCGCACAAGAGCTGTTGGCAAATACAATATCTAGACTGTCCAAACATCTCAGTTTCTGCCCGTCAAGACTAAATCTCGTCCCCGAAGTTTCCAGCAGCGTTTCCAAACTTCTGTTTTAGTGGCTCTAAAACTATGGATGTAGCTTTGTTCTGGTACCTTTGGCAATAATAGAAATTTATTACACTATTTATGCATTAGACATTTGATGTCAAACAAATATTTTAAACTCATCCTAATATAGAAATGGTTTACAATAAATGCCACACAAACATGCGTTAATACTGTTGTTTTCATCCTTGGAAAAAGCCTTTTTTGTCAAAGAAAAAAAATCTGTAGCTTCAATTCCATACACTTGTGTTGATGGCATCACATAGTTTCAGTTCCACTGAAAAGTCGAAAAATGTGCTCATACTTGAGTTTTTCAGTTTTCTGGCAGCATCGCAATGTTACCTTGTTCTCTCCAGGAGCCATGCCCTCGTAGATCTCTTTGAGCTTGCCATAGTGTGGGCGCAGGAATTTCAGGGGTTTGGGTACTGAGGTCATGGAGGTGGTTGAGGATCGGATTAGTCTGCGCAGCTCTTCCAAAGCAGGACGATGCAGCGCTATGTTCTCTTCCTGCCAATGTGTAGAAAATGGTGCATTTATTTGCCTTGTAAAAGGAAAGCTACCCCGTAACACATGGAGGGGAAATAAATAAATATAATACTCACACTCAGTCTCTCCACCATCATCTCTAGGTCTTCTTGTAGCTGCTTGTCTTCTTCTGACTGAGGTGATTAAAGAAGAGAATAAAACTTTTAAAAATTAAAAACCTCAGGAGCAAATTAATCTGAGAGGAGAGGAGTGACCACAGTTTTCAGTTGAGGATACCATGATGGCAGGAGCAACGTGTATTCACTAATGTGTGTTCTGTTGTTTGAAATAAGTGTGATGATGATGATGATTGAAACTTAACTTGGTAACTTAATGAGCTTGTAAACATGATGTCAAGCATTGTTGTCAGTCGAGCTTCTGATGCAGCTGTCCACCTCAACAGTGAAAACCTGACCGGTGCATTTACAGACATCCTATCATATGACTTCAAATATTCAGTTTAATGTGAAAGATGTGTATAAATGATATGTCTCCTTGTTCCAGAAAACAATCTGACCAGTGACAGCGTTGGCTGATTAATCAAGCCAGCTCCAGGCTAACTGTACGTTTTTACTTAACCTTTACTCAGTCAGGAAAAAGTCAAGATAGGCAGCAGCACAGGTGAAAACATGTGTAACTCAACCAGGCGAGTTAAAATCCTCAACACCTTGAACCTAAACCTGTGAAATCAGTCTGTTGTTACATTTAAGTGTGGCTGCTGTGTCATACAGTTTACAACCCAATGCTATCCCTAGCTAGCTGTACGTGCTATCACTCAGGCGAGCAGAGCTAACACCACACACACACTGAGGACGGCGGCGATAACAACTAGCGGGCTAATGCTAGCTCACCGGTTGAGGCTATGCTAGGCTAAGGCGAGCTAACGCTGTGAGTTACAGCTGCAGGGGGGTGGTTTTTTTTAAAAGACGGACAAAACACGGAGAGCTCAGAGTGGCAGCTCTTCATAAGACACCCGAGCACAGAGTCCCCGGGAGTGCACGAGTCCTCTGTGCTGAGAGACACTGACTCCGGCCCGCTCCACCATGTTGTCAAAGCGGCAGTGACTAAGGCAAAATATCTCCTCTGTCTCCCCGTGACGTTTCCCGAGCAGCACGTTTGAATGAGAACAACGTCCCCGCTCACCAGCTCCTGCTCCTCTTTCTTCTCCTTCTCCTTGTCTTTGGGCTGCTGGCCCTTCTCCTTGTCCTTCGTCTTCTCATCCGTCTTTTCGGGATGCTTGCTCTCTTTCTGTTTTGCCTCCTCCATGACTGCGGCTCTACGATCTGACGACCAGAGAGCGGAACTGAGCGGCTCCCACACAGCAGCTTCTTCTTCTTCGGTAGAATGTGGGCGAGTTTGCGCTCTCTAGCGCCCCGCACTGGCGTGAATTGTCATGCGCTTGTGTGTGCAGTTCAAGTTCAGGACATGTAAAGAGTGTACAATTACAGGACAAGCTCTTTCACAGCGTGCCCTGTGACTTCCTGCACTTTGCCTCACTACATCTTTTCTAATCATAAACACATTTAACGTGCATCTAATTTTTGCACTCACACATTTAAGATACGATAAGATGGACTTTATTCATCCCACACTGGGGAAATTTCGACTTTACAGCAGCAGAAGGGCATTAAGATAGAGAAAAAAATATATATACATATATATATATATATATATATAAACAAAAATGTAAACACTATACAAAGATACTGGAAATGCACAGTGGTGGGAAGTGGAGAATATACATTGGAATCAGAATCAGAATCAGAAGTACTTTATTAATCCCCGTAGGGAAATTATGTCACAATTCACATGAAATATATATATATGTGTGTGTGTGTAGGAGGTAGATACAGAAAAATAAGAGGAATGATTATTACACTGTTTTTACGTGCTTGTTGAAAGGTCTTATGGCTGTCGGGATGAAGGTCCTTCGAAACCTCTCTGACTGATTTGATGCCATATTTTCCAATACACTGTAGTGTCCCAACCAAATATTCAACATTGTCACAAGTAGGTTTTTTAGCAGGATTAGTAAACACACACACAAATACACACACTGGTTTCTTAACTTGATTAAAAAGTTATATATAGGTCCATTGTCTGTCTGTATATGTTGTTTCCATTGGTGGTGTTTGTTTGCACTATTTGTTGTATGTTATATGTTGTGTGTTATATATTACTTGCACATTTGGAGTATGGGAAAACGCAATTTCAATCCTCTGTGTAACAACCTGTTGCATTGTTTGGTTGACAATAAAGTTCACTAAGACATATATGAGAATTCATTTTTTTTGCGGGGGGAAACTGTTATTTCCCACGCTCTTTAAAGTAGCAGACCAGCTTGTCATATGACCACAAAAGTCACATGTTCGTTTCCCGTTTCTGTCAAAATGGCTTTGGAGGCTCGTGTGTTGCGTGTGTGCACAGTAGCACTGTTCTTCGTGTTCTCTGTCTGTGCTGTTGGACACGGACGAGTCAAAGGCTTCAGGAGGTTCGGTCATGTGCAGCGGGCCCAGCGGGGAGCTCCGTCAGAGGAGCAGTGGTTCACCCAGAGACTGGATCACTTCAACGGTGCAGACATCAGGGAGTGGAAGCAGGTGAGTCCCCCAGTGTGTTGTGAGCAGGGGGTTAGAGAAGGGATCCGATTAAAGGTCCAGTGTGAAAGATTTAAAATTGAAGATAAAATAACCCTAGTGATGTTTTCACTGGTGTGTGATCATCCACATTGTATGAATTGTTGTTTTATTTTCCCTAGAATGGGCTCTTATATTTAACTTTATATTTACATGGAGGGGGGGGGGTCCTCTGTGTGGAAGCTGTCATGTATTTTTTTACTGTCGTCCAAAACCTTTTAAGTTCACCACAGTTTCTCTTTCCTGTTGGGAAGAGGAGGGTGAGATGAGGAGTATTCAGCTGCAACATGCAACTTCACCTCTAGATGTCACTAAATTCTACACACTGAACCTTTAAGCTGGTGCTGGACGTGGTGTTAAATGAATATAGTCATTGGAAGAGTTTCCTTCCTGTCATATGTTATCTATGTCTATGGTTAAAACCTAAACCTTCTTGATTAGAGTACAATCAGCACTGCTTACTGCTATTAGACCACATGCACTGTACAATAATAATTATATATAAGTGCAATTTCACAGTTTATATTTTTCTTATGTATTTCTATTTTACATAGTGCCTTGTGTTTTTACTTATTTATTTGTATTTGTACAATCTGAATAACTCTTTCTCTCTCTCTCCGTTTGCCCCAGAGGTACTTTGTCAATGAAAATTTCTACAAGCCAGGTGGCCCAGTGTTTCTGATGATAGGTGGAGAGGGTCCGGCTAATCCAGCATGGATGCAGAATGGAACCTGGCTCACCTACGCTGAGAAAGTGGGAGCGCTCTGCTTGATGCTGGAGCATCGCTTCTATGGAAAGAGTCACCCGACAGTGTATGTGTCACCTTAACTTGTGTTCTTGAGCTTTTTCTATCTTTAGAGCAGTTGATTTAGTCTCTAGAGGTTTCACTGCTTTTGTGCTTTTGCGATAATACAGTGTGTTACTATCAGCATGGTAATGTATTGGAATATCTTAAATCTAATTTAGGAAAAATGTTATAGTATGAAATTTGTTGGAGTAGAAGGGTTAAATGGCCAGAGAGAGAAAGAGAAAGGGAAAGAGAAAGAGAGAGAGAGAGAGTAAAAGTCAACACAAAATGGACCACAGTCTGTCACAAATCTTTGAATGAATCAATACGTTGTTATTGACAATCGATACTCTATCAAGAAACATAATATCCCAGAAATTCTTTATCGGTCAGGATCGATTGTTAAAGGATCCTTTCGTTTTGGCTCACGTGGAGTTACTTTGAGCAGAAATACCTCGGGAGCATCAGCCAAAAATGCATCAGGACATCACAATCTTGTTCCATTGGAGTAGAGAAGCAAATGCTGGTGAAGCTTTTGTACCACTAGATGGCAGCACTGCTTTCAGCTAAAGACCGTCCTATACATGGCTCATGAAATCCTCTATAGACAGGAAGGTGGACACACTGAAGATGTTAACTCAAACTGCTGAGGAACTCATTACCACCCCACATCAAAAATGCCCAAACACTGCTATTATTCAAGAAGGCCCTCAAAACCCACCTCTTCAGACTTGCCATCCCCTTCTAAACCCCCCCCCACCCCATTTTTATTTTCTTAGTATACCTTATTCTTCTCCTTTTCTTTGTAATAAAGAGTATACTGATTGTTTTCTTATTTTATCCTTCACTAGTCGTCTTTGAAAGCTTTGAAAAGAGCTATGTAAATGCAATGTTTCATTATTATTATAACCCCCTCCTCTCTCCATCCAGTGACCTCAGTACAGACAACCTACGTTTCCTCAGCAGCCGTCAGGCTCTAGCCGACCTGGCTCACTTCCGCACCACGATAGCTGAGACCCGAGGCCTGACCAACAGGAAGTGGGTGGCATTAGGCGGGTCATACCCTGGTTCTCTCGCCACTTGGTTCCGGCTGAAGTACCCACACCTCGTCCATGCCTCTGTGGCCACGAGTGCACCCGTTCATGCTACTGTCAATTTCCCAGGTGTGACAAGACATTGCAAAACATGAAAACATGGACAGATGTGCACACAATCACTCTTGATTTGTGCCAAATTCTTGACAAAATAATTTGATTTAAGAAAGATTTATATATACTAAAGGACACAAAATATTTCTTGAAATAGTTAAACAGTATGTTTCACTTGTAAATTCAGATTAACATAAAGCACCAAACCACTGAGCTCTCCAACAGTTAGCTTGAGCCCCAGACAGATCAAAGATGAGGAAAGCTTTATTCTCTATCTTTGTCTGTGTTGTGTTTGGCTCTACTCATTGTTTTTCCTCCGGAAGGCTCTAGGCAGGAATCAGGGTCAGAGTAGCTTTGTACACAGAGATGCTATCAGAAGCTCTTGCGCCACATTCTTTTAGATTTATGAAGATAACCATTACAAAACACCGCAGTCATCCAGCATTGCTTCCAGGAAAAGACTGGCTTCTGTTCCAGTCATAAATATTCCAGTTTGTTTGAATGTGAAGTTTCTCCTCTGAGAGCCTGTTTTAATAGTTTCATAAACTGTGAAATTAAGTCATCAGTTTACTTCGTGCCTCACAGAAACCATTTCCAAAAACTGTCTCCAGCACTTGAATAGACCTTGGTTCAGATATTGTGTTGAAGTTGAAGTGGTGCTTTTCCAGCCCTTCAAAATAGTCGTCATTGTTGAACTAATGTTTTGTTTATTACTGTGTATTACGAGCAGCCCAGGTTTAAGTGTCTACTCCTCCCTCTGTCCTCATGTAATGCCAGAGTACTTGGAGGTCGTGTGGCGTTCGCTGGCCTCAGAGAACACAGAGTGCCCCCTACTGGTGAAAAAAGCTTCGGATACCCTTGTAGAACGGCTAAAGGATCCCAAGACCCACGACAACATCACTAAAGAGTTCAAGTACCGTACATTTACACTCTGTAACCATTCCTGTTATTTACTTCCAGGAACACTAGTGTGGATTAAGATTTTTTTTTTCATCTATGACCTCTGTTGTTGACTTACTGAGTGACTTGCTTTCTGGCCGAGTGTCATAACTTCCTTTATCTGTTGTAAAAGCCCACAAGCGTTTCCTCTTGTAGTAATCATTATGCACACACTGCTCCTGAATAAGCATTACCATCTGCACTAGTTTTAGGGGTAAATGCAAGTGAAACCTTTCCACTGTGGAGCCCTGTCTTAGTGCTGGCCAAATTTGACTTCTACTACTGTCATCAGCTGATGAAGTTTGGTGACCCTAACAAGCTCCTAACATGGACTCCAGTCACCATCAGACTGAGCAGAGGTGTTATCAGGCAGAATACAGGAAACACCAGTGTGGTGTGTGTGTGTGTGGGGGGGGGTCTTGAAAAAAGCTATGGACCTTTTTTTTTTTCATCAAGAAAAAAGTGTCCCTTCTGACGCCAAGCAGGAAGAGTACAGATTTAGTCAATACCATTAATAACCTTGTTCCATGAGAAAGTCCTGGTCAACTATGGGGGCCTCAGGGCTGGTACACTTAAATAAAGTACATCAGGTTGTTATAGTGACTGGATGGTCAGTCCACATGATGAGTAAGCAGGCCCACATTTCTTTTTATAATGGGGTGGTTAGTCTCATGGAACTACTACTGTCGCAGAGACAGACAAGCTAAACCTGTGTCTCTGCGTCTGCACCGGTCTTACCACACTGGACATCTTTTGATTTGCAGAATAAATAGCCCAGACGGTGCTAATGCAGGAAAAAACATACAGAGGTCTCGAAGGTGGTTGAGAGGCTTGTCCATCTTCCAAGCCACAATACCTCAGAGAATGTTTTCCATGTTTCACAATTTCATCGTGAAGGAAATATCACTCACAGGCAAACACATGAGTCGTTTCTGAAATCAGTGTGTTACGTCATCATCATGTTAACAGAATTTACCGTTGCAAAGACTTTTCCACTGTATGTAGTAACGCTCAAGTGAACACACCCACACTTCTGCAAAGTACAACACTCTCTTTTGACTCCGCAGCTCGTAGCTGTCAGGTTGACAGATGACCCAAATCAGTGTCCGTGTATTGATGTTGAATGAGTTACTGTTCCACTAAGAGGTGAAATTTGGGTGTTTACAGATTCTGCAGATTAGTGATCACTTCAATTTCAAAGTAACAGGCCTGAGAGATCCGGAAAAGACAAAATATTCCAGGTAGCATTCCATTAGACATTAGCATTCAACCACTTCCTTGCTGTTTAATACTGTTATGTGATATGATGGGAAAAACACCTTAATTCCAAAATTTCATAGCCCCATTGGGACATAACTATTTAAGCCTGGAAGTAAAATGCATTGGACTCCAGCCTCTAACGCTAAATGCTAAAGATAAATAATCCAATGCTGAAGTGCTTGAAACTATTTTTTGTAACAGTTTACTTGATTACATCAAATATATTTTACTCACAGTGTTAAATAATTGTGTCCAACATGTGCATTGGTATTTCAATATGAAAACAGCCCTTGCGGTTGAATGCTAATGTTAGCTGTTGTCTTCTGTGAGCTAATGAGCTTTAAAATATGTTGTTTAACCTTGAAACATGGTCCCTCCAGATTTAAATTATCCAAGTACAGTTTGTAGCAGTGAGATGAAAACAGTCTGTCATATTTATAATCCTGGATCACATCAATATTATTCTGATGATGAATAGGAACATTTCATGTGAATATGAGCTATAACATGCTCTAGTGTAACTTTCCTCCTATTTTCATCTCTACATCTTCTCTTGTTTTCCTCCTTCCTTCCTCTCCTTCTCTCCCCACCCTCTCTCAGCTTGTGTTCCAGACTGCAGATCCAGACAGAGATGGACTCGGCCTACTTCCTGGAAACGCTGGCTGGCAACTTCATGGATGTGGTCCAGTACAATGAAGACAACCGAGGGTTTGAGGTGAGAGCGACACGCTCGGCAAACATCCTCCGCAAAACGTCATAAACTGGGATTTTTGGAGGCAGGCAGTAAGCGTTTTGGATTGGAAAATCCAGGTGATCACCCACATATGTATTTTGATACGACATGATCTGTGCGCATTGACTTGAAACAGAATAAAGGGAGTTTGGAGAGGTTTGGAGAGTTTTGTAGATCGGGGGCTTGACCTAGTATCCAGTCTTGGTTGAGTGGAAGGCAGCTATGAGGTGTAGGAGGGTCAGTCCAAATAGTATACTGAAACATAATAAACCATGCATTGTGAGAGAGGCCCAGAGATGCTGCCTTTTAAGAGGGTCTCCAGGGTTGATCCCAGGGCTGCCTGCTTGCTTAGATGTGGAGCTCCTTAACCTACATGCATTATAGGTGGTGTGTGTGACCTGCTGAGTGAGACGATATCAATGGAAGGTGGGAAGTACCTGTGTGTCTCGACTCAGATCCAGATTAAACAACGCTGCTGATATTTGATATGTCAGAGTCCTCTAGTGTTTTAGTGTCTGAGCAGTTTCTCTATTGAAGCCTAGGGTCGTGACAAAACTAGTTATTTAAAAGTGTCTGTTAGCTACCAGGATTATAGGATTACCACAAAACCTGGTGGATAGATGTCATGGATCTTGATGAAAAGAATCAGTGAGTGTAGATTAAATAAACTGGATTTTGTGAATTTGAATGTAGTATCACAAGGGGAATCCTTGGTGGAGATATGTGCTTCTTCATTCTAGTTATTTCTAGTTATTTCTGCAATACATGCACAATGCATTACACAATTGACAATGCTGGTGTTACGTTGACAACT